GTACCCACTGCTTTGGACAGAGGAAGCCCAGTTCATGGGATTATTAAAAAGGAGGGAACAACTATGCCTATACGGAAGGAAGGAGGTAAATTGGCTCTTCTGATCCACTTTTTAATGGAGTTACTGGAATGAGATTGAAGAAAAAGCAGGATGATTTAGGAAATTAGTAAGTAGACAAAAATTGAGACAAGTAAATGTCTAGGAGTTATAGGAGCCTTTAGTCTTCAAAGAAAAAAATGTCCAAATATTGCTTACAAAAATCAAAATTAAATCTGTTATTGGGTGATAATCCTGGCATCGTAAAGTTGAAAAATGAAACAGTTATCTAAGGAATTCAAGCAAAACCCTTGGTATTATCTGAGTTATTTGAATAATAGAGGGGAAAGTGGGATTTCTGCTTGGATTATTTAGATAATTGCCTTAATTCTAAGATTCATTTAGTTCATAGGGACCTTTCCTTAGGATATATTTTTAGAATGCTAAATGGGAAAATTAGACTCCTAAATTAAGCAAAACAATAGAACGAGGGAGGGCAGGAGGAGAGAGAGAAAAACAATGAAAGAGAGAGAGAGAAAAGAAATAGTAAGTAGTTCATTATCAGAATAAATCCAAACTTTTCTCCCCCATACTTTTTCTAAAGATAATAACTGACATTCACATTTCATCATAGAATGAACTTCCATGATGAAAAACAGAACTATATATGGATCTCAGATATAACCCATAGCATTTTTTAAAGTTTAAATCCTTTTTGGGTTTCAATTCTTTAAAGTGTGGAAACTTAACAGCTCCAAATTCAGCCATTTAATTTTATAAAGCCAAGTAAATTGATTTAAAAATCACACTATACTTTCTGCTGACTTCATATTGTTGGCATTTGCCTCCAATTCTTTTTTTAAAATTTTTATGTATTTTTATTCATGACAGACACAGAAAGAGAGGCAGAGACACAGGCAGAGGGAGAAGCAGGCTCCATGCAGAAAGCCGGACATGGGACTTGATCCCGAGTCTCCAGGATCACGCCCCAGGCTGACGGGCGCCAAACCACGGGGCCACCGGGGCTGCCCTTTGCCTCCAATTCTTCAAAACAAATTAAAAGGGGATGCCCGAGTGGCTCAGCGGGGGCGCCTATCTTTGGCTCAGGTCTAGATCCTGGGATTCAGGATCGAGTCCCGCCTCAGGCTCCCTGCAAGGAGCCCGCTTCTCCCTCTGCCTGTCTCTGCCTCTCTCTCTCTGTCTCTCATGAATAAGTAAATAAAATCTTTAAAAGAAAAATAAAAGGGTGATCCTATCTGAGTTGCCACCCCATTCTCTTCTTTGGTAACAGAACCGTGGGCAGTGAGGCCAACTGAAAAAATTCTTTGCCCACCTTCCCTATAGGTGAATGCATCATATTACCAAGTTTTGACTGATGAGCTGAAGTGTTGTTTGAGACTTCGGGATAGGATCCCTCTTTTCTGGACTGCTTCTGGCCTCCAGTGAAGACAAGATGCATAGATCTCCAGTAGCCATCTTGGGCCAGAGGGCAATTCTAAGAATGGAAGCCACATGCAAAGATTGTGAAAGATTTAGAAGGAACCCGAGCCCATGATGACCATACCTGCTCTGCAATGCCTACTTTCGTACCACTTTTACTTAAGAAAGTAGTAACTTCTATTTTGTTTAAGACTATTATTTCTAGTCTCTGTTACTAGCAGGTGAACACAATTACTAAATAATACATATTAAAGTGTTGATTGAAAATATTTTGGAATTTTAGGGTTCAATTTCCAGATATGTGTAATGGCCTCTTTCAATTGACCCTCCCAACCCCATTTTCACACACACACACACACTCCAATTCATAAGAAAGAAAATTAAGTGGTTATGAGAAGTTGTACCAGTTATACATTTTGTGCAATTGCAGATAATAACATTTGCAGTGGAAATTGTAAGAAGATAAAAACTAAAGTATTACTCAAGAATTTTTCAGTATGTATACGTAGACTTAAAAAAAAAGCAAAAAAAAAAAGCAGAGGAAGGAAGGAAGGAAAAAGAACAGTACAGAAATAGAATGTAGCAATAGGTTTTTTTATTTTATTTTTTTATTTTATTTATTTTATTTTATTTTATTTTATTATTTTATTTTATATTTCAGGTGGAGGGAGCGTGAGATGGAGAAGCACACACCCCGCTGAGCAGAAAGCCTGACAGAGAACTCAATCCCAGGACTCTGGGATCATTACCTGAGCCCAGTGAGCCACCCAGGTGCCCCTGTATCAATAGAATGTTAACATTTTTTTTATTTTTTGCAGATTTAACTAAGGTAAGTATAATATTGATAATAAGAGAGGAAGGAAACATCTATAGAGCAGTCTGATGGAATAGTATTCATCATTTTCTCTTTAGAAGCTGTCCCAATTTTCCCCATCTTTTTTTTTTTTTTTTTTTTAAAGAGTTTATTTATTTACTCATGAGAGACACAGAGAGAGCCAGAGGCAGAGACACAGGCAGAGGGAGAAGCAGGCTCCATGCAGGGAGCTTGACGCTGGACCCGATCCCAGGTCCCCAGAATCACGCCCCCGGCTGAAGGCAGGCACTGAACCACTGAGCCACCCAGGGATCCCCAATTCTCCCCATCTTTTAAAGATCTAGCTCTTCTATGAAATGTTCATCAATCCCTCTGCAGGAATTACCTCTGCCTGTTGTTGCATTTATTAGGACTAGGACTAAGTTAGATACAGTGAGAGAAGTATTTGTCTTAGGCACAGCATTTTAAGGGAGAGGCAAAAAACTCAGCAATCAAGAAAAATATTTTAATGGAATATTTTAATTAGCACACTACAGTAAGCAGGTCAGTCTCTTGTTTTCATAAATAAATTTTTTTGTAAATAAATTTTTAATTATGCTTCACACTTATCTCTATTATAGCACTCAAATAGTGCTTTTTATAAATTTTCTCTCCAATAGTGCCATACTCATTTTTCATATTTCTCATGTGCCTACTACTCTTTTAAGCATAAAGTCTCTTAAAAATATTAAATTCGATTTATTGAAAGATTTTGCAAGAATATACTGTATTAGGGACAGCACGATTATGTTTTCATCATTAAATTCAACTATAGCAAAAGAATAATAGAGGGTAATGAATGTTTTGAAAGTACTTATAATTCAGTTCTATGGGAAAATCACCTGACTTCTCTTTGACTAAACCCTGCTCAGCCTTGAGAGGGAATTGTAATTCTACTTTATATTCATATAGCACTTTGCCCTACATAAAGTGCTTTCTTTTAATTCTCACCTTAATCCCGTAAAGTAGGTATTATCACTGTTATTTATTACAGAAAGATTGAGAAGTGACTTGCCCAAGGAGTTACAGGCAGAAAGTGGCAGAGCTGGGATTGTAACCCAGGTTTTCTGAATCAAAATCCAATGCCTTTCCCCTATTCCAAATGCTAAGTCTTGGAATTGACCAAGAAGTAGTTCATGCAGCAACTACAACAGCATATATGTGTTTATGAAATAATGTCCGTAGCACCCAAGACAGCAGTATTTTACCCAGTGTGCTCCTCATGACTAAAACTGTTCTGATTTTTATGTGTGCATGTTTGATGAAGTAGCTCAACTTTTCTGATATTGGATCAGGTGTTCTAAGATTTTTTCGACGGCAGAAATCTACATAATTTAAATGTCAAAGAACAGGGGGAAATGAGGAAATTATATATTACTTGAATATTAGTCCTTCCTTCCTTCCTTCCTTCCTTCCTTCCTTCCTTCCTTCCTTCCTTCCTTCCTTCCTTCCTTCCTTCCTTCCTTCCTTCCTCCCTCCCTCCCTCCCTCCCTCCCTCCCTCCCTTTGACAGAGAGAGAGGCAGAGACATAGGCAGGGGAAAAATAGGCTCCCTGTAGGGAGCCGGATGTGGGGCTCCATCCCAGGACGCCAGGATCGTGACCTGAGCCAAAGGCAGATGCTCACCTACTGAGCCACCCAGGTGTCCCTGAATGTTAGTTTCTAACTACCACTTTACTACTAATGTGTGTGTGATACTCTGCAAAGCACGTAAACCATACAGGTTTGCTTCTTTATTAAAAGAAACATTTGAGAAGGTCTTTAAACTTCTCAGCTGACAAAGGCTAGTTGAATGTGAAATATTATCAGTCTTCAGGAGTTAGTAGTTGATTATGTTTAACGGGTTACTTTTTCATATTTGGGAAAATCTATATTTTAAAACTCCATATGGTAATTAAATGTTTGAAAGCCCATAACCGCTTCGAATGTAATTTTCATCAACATAAACACAACTCCAAGCCAAAATGTCCATTATCAGCTAGTCTAGCAGAAGATTTCTTATTAAAATTATAGATTCTCCTCATTGGTTGCTGCCCAGAGAATTCAAAAACTTGAGCCTTCTTTTTGTAAGCTGATGGCTGAGTTCTAAAGCGTCTGTCTTAAGAACAACCAGAATGCAAAGAAGTCCAAAGCTGTTCATTTCGGTGAATTGCAACCTGTCGTCAAGAACTGTCTATTGGATGCGCACAGAGTGCCTAGGCATTGAAGTAGCAAGTGATTTATTTGCATCATTCAAAGGATTTCTAAGGGGGGGGGGTGTGTGTCTGAAAAGATTTGCAGACGTCTTTAAAGTTGCAGAGGGGCATGTGCGTCTTTAAACTGCCCCATCCCAGGAATGGATTGAACAGTGTGGGTTTCAGAGCTCTAGGGATTTCTAGCCCTCGGGGCCGACCTCTGTACGCGGAGACCCCAGCGGGCGTCAAGCGGCGGGCGGGCTGGCGGGCAGAGCAGGGCCCCGTCGCGGGCTTCTGGGCACGTCAGGCCGCCCCCGGGCTCGCGCAGGGCGCGCTGCGGCCCCGGCGGCCCTGACCCGCCGCCCCCTCCCCTCCCCTCCCCCTCCACGCCCACCCCCCGCGCCCGGCTCCCACCCTCGCCTAGTCTCCCGGCTCCGGCCGGTTCTCGCGAGATCCGGGCCGCTGAGCGCTCGGGGCCTTTTCAAATCGGGATCCGTTACCGCTTTCCCGGCCGCCGCCATTGCAGCGCTCGGAGCCCCTCCGCGCAGGCGGCCGCGGCGGAGGCGGAGGCGGAGGCAGCGACGGCGGGATGGCGGACGCCGGCAAGCCCGAGGTGCTCGGGGCCGCGGGCGACGACAGCCCGCATCAGCAGCCCGTGGAGCAGCCGGGCGAGCCGCGGCGAGACCCGCACCCGCCGGAGCCGGAGAAGCAGCCGCCGCAGCACGGCAGCAGCAGCAGCAGCAGCAGCAGCTCCAATGGCGTTAAAATGTATTGTCTTTTCCTCCGGGGACCGGGGCGAGGTGGGGGGGGGCGGGGAGTCGGCCTGGGGCGGGGCGGGGCGGGGGGTCAGGGCCGGCCTGGGGCCTGGTGAGGGGCCGCCGCCTCCGCCTCCGCCGCCGCCGCCGCGGGCGCGGGCGTGGGCGTGGGCGGCGGGCGCGCAGGTGCGAGCTGGGCCCCCCCCCCCCCGGGGCTCCCCCTCCCGCCGCGCGCGGGGCCCCGGGGCCGGCCTGAGACCTCGGGTCGCCGCGTTCTTCCCGGGCCTCGGCGGGAGAGCCCTGGAGCCGAGCTGCTCGGCCGCCGCCGCCGCGGGAAGATGGTCCCCCTTTTAAAGCCCAGCCGTGTAGTTGGTGTTCATCACTAGGGAGTAACTAGGGATGACATCATCGGGCATTTCCTCCTAACTACGCGGAGCGCGCTTCAAAGGAATAGCAACCCCCCTCCCCGCCCCATCTCGCGGCCGCATCCCGAGCTTTGCAAGTTCGGTGTTTGCTGCTGCTTTTTCCAAAGTATAATCTTATTTTCCGAACGGATTATATATACCAAGGGGGAAGTTAAATAATGTGCGGTTAGCCTGACTCCATTGTGTCATTCTTGCGTTGGTTAAGCGGTTATTCCCAAAGGAAAATGTGCGTGGTGCCCTGCCACCCACCCACCCTCCCACCCCCTCCCGCCCCCGCACGTGTTTGTAAGTCAGCTATACAGGTTACTATTATTTTTTAAAGGACTCATTGTGTGATGGTTTGTTCTTGATTTTGGTAAAATGGTAAACTAAGTTTTTTTTTTTTTTTTTGTCGTGGTTGTTTAAAGATTAAGATTGCCCCTGTCACCAGTGCTTATAAAGAATTCGGTTGAGTCGAATCCATAATTTCTAGTTTGTAAGAAAACACGCTCGCTCCCATTGTTCTTGTTGTACAGGTGATGTGAATCAGGCATTCTTTTGCAGGTGCCCAGCTCTTTAAACTTGGAGCTGAAAGTCTGTTAATAATTTAGCCGAAAAAAACATCCTTTTCCTTCTCTTCAGTTGTGCCTCAGAGTAGAGAGCGGTGAACATCCACACTCACCCTAAAATAAGAAAGAAAAGTGTTCTTTTGTGTGTGTGTGTGTGTGTGTGTGTGTGTGTGTGTAAAATGTTTGAAGCAGGAGGGTAAGACCTGAACTAGTTGGTGTAGGGGTTGAGGGCAGATGAGGTAGCTCTCTCCCAGCTCACTTAGAACCCTCTTGTTTTCAGTTGGGTTTGAATAGGATAGATTGCATCTTCCAGGCAGAATAGAGGTGCAGGTAGAAGAGATTCGACCTCCGTGGAATTTGTTCCTAGGTGCAAACTGGTGCACCTCAGGAACGGAGCAGCTGGAAAGTGAGCACTTTCTACCATGCCTGCCAAAATGTTGGCTCTCTGGGATTTGGCATCCTAAATTTGAATAGAAAGCATTGGAATGATAAAATACGTGGTTTTTGTTTATATCAAACATGGACTCGCCACCCTATTCTCCCGAACAAGAAGTACAGCCTTGAATTACAGAGAGAAGCCCTACTATACTTGGGTGTGATTACTATAATAGTGTCAGTACAGATAAAGCTGGCATCTAAACCTCCCAGATCTGAAAGTCTCTAATCCCTTTGAAAGTCTCATTGTGGTTTAGCTGGACAGGAGAGGAGAGATTTCTTCCTACGATTCTTTCCTACGAAAAGAATCTCTCACTTCTAATTGAAGAAGGGGGGAATATAAAGTGAAGTTAAGAAATGTTACTAGTGAGTACAAATGAAGATGCTTTTCATGTTACTTATAATTCATCTCTCACTCTTTTTTTTCCCAAAAGTTGAGTAAAGATGCAAATTTATTCCCAAGGGTTTCTTGTACTGTCAGTTCCATGAGAACCATACAGTGGTCCAGCATGGGTCGCTCATGCTGAATCACTGGGGACATTTACCTGCATCCACCTAACAACCTTTATTTGACCCTGTGAATCAACTGGAGTAGTTAACAATCCAACACATAACTTTTGATTTGATTACCTTACATTTTTAAGGATAAGAATTCACAGTATGTGAATGCAAAATATGTATTACTTAACATTGAGCAGGGTGCCACCTACCAAGATTAAAAGGACTTTTCTGAGGTTAATCCATAGTCACTGAGGATGGAGACCACTATGTCTTATTCATCTTTGTATATCCCCAAGGCCTTATACTTAAAAAGGTCCAGTAAATTTATGTAAGAAGTGCAGACGTGAACTTCTGTGATCATGACACTTATGCACAGAGGATTTCGTGGGCATGTTCACATCTTTTGAGAAGTTAAAGATGTCTTCCTAGGTTTAGTCTTTTTATGCCAAAGTGGTAGGCCAGTTCTCCTTAAGTGAAAGAGGAGGAAAAATAGCAGTATTGTTACGACTCTTCATTATTTCTGTGTAATTAAGTAACACTGTATTTGAAGATTGAGAGTTACATTAGGGTATAAAATATTGTGTAAGATCCTACGCATTTAGCGTGAAGCAAAGTGAGGTGGAGTAATATTTTTTATATTCGGAATAAAGAATGGAACTGCGCATAATTTTAGATCTCATACTAAAGCACTCTTTTTAAATCATATTAAAACTGTGTTTCATTATTTGGTGTGGAATATTGACTTTTCAGAAATTTATTATTTGGGTAGGCATAATTCCATCCTAAGAGTAGATAACATTTTTGTGACTTAAAATAGTCACAGTCCTTTTTTCAAGGGCATTAGGAGGAGGGTTTGTTTGAATGAATGGTTCGGGCATTATTACAAGGAATTCTGGATATAGTGCCAATATTTAATACTATGTAGCATCATTTCTCTAAGAGTTTTCGCATGTATCTGAATTATTCCATAGTGTATTTATGACGTAAAAAGAGTTTAGGAATTGAATAATTAAAGCTTATTTTCTTAATAATCAGATCATAATATCTCTAGCCACTAAACTGGTCTGCTTTCCATAGATATAGATAATCTTAATTTATGCATTCTAGATGAGCAGTGTAGCAGTTATCTTTATTTAATATGTCGCTGATTGGGGAAAACTTGAAGAAATTGCTCTCTGGTCATCATTGAAATAAATATTTTTGAGAGGGTATCCTACCCTATATAATATCATTGCTTTCTAATGGAATTATCAGATTGTTGTAAGCAAACAAACATTCATATAAGATTAGAAGAACATAGTATTTCAGAAATTTGCACAGTTTTCATAATTGGTTTCAACCAGGAAGAAAATAGGGAAGAGAAGACATACTGAGCTAGAGACTATATAGATGTCTATTTACCTGAACAGAGACTTAGTGATTTTAAAAACATTAATTCTGTCTACTATGTAAATGAGTTCCTTGGGGGATGAAAAAGAAGAGTTCTTGTATCTACTTAAAAATCAGAGAAAAGGCCTTTGTACCTTTTGGCTGCTTCCTTCCATTTTCAGAAGTAGCACACTGTTCAGACAGGTAGGTACTTGCTGGAGTTGGACAGTTGTGAAGAGCACTTCTAGATTGTGCCATTTCTGATGAGGGAAGTTGTTTGATAGTGAAGGTGCACCTGTCAAGGTCTGAAAAGGTGGCAAAGCAAATTTGACCCTAATGTCTCTTCCTTGATTTTAGCAGTTTTTCTGGCAGACAGCAGCACCATCTGTGCCCTGATGAGAATGGGTTCTTAATTGACTGTTCATTCAGTCAAAAATTAATATTTATTGAGTGACATGTGCAGTCACAGTGCTAGATGCTACTCATACCAATGCAGATAGTTTCTGTTCTTACAGAGTTTTATGTAGTATATTTACAGCTGTGTAGTTATCTGCTCAGAAAAGTAGTGCCCAGGAAGTTCAGTGTATCCTGGAACAGGTGACCACAATAAAAAGTGTGTGTGGACACCTACAGTGTATAGATTCCCACAATTGCTTGGCCTAGAAGATAAATTAGAGCCTGGATTATGAAGCCTGGTTCATTGTTGGCATAATCTAGGAAGCTTTAAGAGATTTGGAATTCTGAATGTCATTCCCAGAGATTTTTATTAGTATATGTTTGTGGAAAATTGGATTATTTATTTTTTATATTTTTAGAGATGAGGAGAGAGAGCAGGGGCTGGGGAGTCATGGAGGTACAGAGGAAGAGGGAGAGAATTCTAAGCAGGCTCCATGCCCAGTGTGGAGCCGGACCCTGGGCTTTGAGATCATGACCTGAGCTGAAATTGAATGGGATGCTTAACAGGCTGAGCCACCCCGGCATTCCATGGAATTTAAATTGAAGTTTTAATTAAGTAGTTTTAGATCCACTAGAATAATTAATAATTTAAAGGAAGCCTATTGTTATTCTGTTAAAAAAAGATTCCTTTTGAAAAGTAAATTGCATTTTAAAAATCTATATCCAGATTTTTATCTATAGGATTTACTTTAAGCGTATACTTACACATGGTTGGTGGGTAACGTCATATAGTTATGTTGTGATTGCAGTCTTATGATTTAAATAGTTTTCCAGTTAGAGTCTCATTAAAAAGTAGATTTATAAAATTCTGATTTGTGCTGCCTTCAAGTACTACTACCCATCTCCTCTCCATACTACCTTCTGTGTAATAACTTCCAGTAAAAATTATATGATTCTGTGAAGTACCCTATCCTAGTTTATAGATTAATATACAGAAAATATTGAGTATGAAAATATTAGAATACTTCACAAGTAATTATGGTGATCAAAATTGAGAATAGAAAAAATTTACAAGAGTCATATGGGAGTGTATGCATATATAGACACATCAATATAGCTATGTATTTTAGTTATGTTTTTAAGCAAGGAGGAGAAAAGTTTTGTGAAATTGTTAAGCTTGAGGAGATAAACTTTTTTCAGGGTATCCTTTGCAAAGTAAAGTATAGGGTTCTGATTGAAGTTCAGAAAGTTAATGCTTCCTTTTTTAAAGATTTTATTTATTTATTCATGAGAGACCCAGAGAGAGAGAGAGAGAGAGAGAGAGAGAGAGAGAGCGCGCGCTAGAGAGAGAGAGGCAGAGACAAGGCAGAGGGAAAAGCAGGCTCCATGCAGGAACCCTACATGGGACTCAATCCCAGGTCTCCAGGATCAGGCCCTGGGCTGAAGGCGGCGCTAAACCGCTGAGCCACCCGGGCTGCCCGAGTTAATGCTTCTTTAAAGAAGGCAGATATATATACTATAGGAATAAAATCACTCGTTTTCCCCTCTTGTTAGGTTCTTTTAATATTTATTAAATAGTATGATGGGAGAAGCTGGGAGACTGGATGCTGCAGCTATTTAATATGGAAAAAGAAGGATTGTTAAATGAGAAGTTTGGGAAGATGCCCAAATCCTTGCTTTGAAATGGCACTGGGTAATTTCAAAGCAAGCAAGCTGACTCTCCAGCAGCTTTGCTAAGGTCTAACTTAACGGAGAGTTTTGTGAAGTGAAGTGATAAGTATAAAATATTTATGTAATGTAGGCTTCTATTATTAGAAACATGACTGAGGTTTTCTTCTTGTTTTGTTTTTAATTCATAGGGAGAATGATGAATCAGTCAAAGAAGATAAATCTGAATTAAAAGAAAAATCTTCAGGAAATAAGAAGGCCAATAGATTTCATCCTTATTCAAAAGACAAAAATTCGGGCACTGGGGAAAAGAAGGGTCCAAATCGAAACAGAGTTTTCATTAGCAACATCCCATATGACATGAAATGGCAAGCTATTAAAGATCTAATGAGAGAAAAAGGTAACCATCCCTGATAAACCCACTGTTGGGTAATCTTCATATAGAAGGGGGAGGGAACTAAGCAAACGTGTTTTTTATTCCCCTGAGCCACACAGACTCAAAAAATTGATTTTTTGTTTATTTCTTGACGCTCGAATTAATCTTTTCCTCTTCTTTCACTTGACACAATTTCATTACAAAGTCATATGGATAAATGAAGTTATTTTTTTTCCCATTTTAGTGGTATAGTGTGAGCCAGCATATGCATGCCACCAAGAACTTTGTTAAAGAGATTGCTTTGTCTAGTTGAAGTTTTTATAGATTTTTAAAGGACTATTGCACTAGTTAAGTAATACATTTAGCGTGTTAAAGTATGAATAATAAGGTCTGATTATTTTTTTCCAAAAGCTGTTTTGTTATTTTCTTGGTGGAGTCTGGAATCTGGCTGTGGAGTTCATTTTGTTTGCATTGTCATGAATGCCATGATGCTGTCTCTGCAGTTCTATATTAAAATTGCGTTACTGCTGTTGCAGTTTTGTTTTTAGAATAACCTGAAAACCTTCATTTTATATACATGGTTGGTTTTGGGGAAAAATAATTTTAATATTTGATCTTGTAAAAGTTAGTTTTGTTATCTCTTGAAAAATTGAGTTTCAACAGTCCTGCAAACTATGTACTTGGCTTTGAGGCTGATCTCTTCTAATAAATAAAAAAAAATTTGCATTGGTGTATCTGTTGTAAGGTGACAACTATTTGATTGGTTTTATTTATTGACTTTATTTAGAAAGTGTGTGGCTTGCTGTGAAGCATGACTTGTAAATTTAGTTTACTGATGGCAAACATGATTGAAGACATTCAGGTAGAAAGTCACCTTAAAACAGCTGTTGTGTGTAGGCGACCAAAGTTATTTGAAAAGTGTTAATGTTGATGTTTTTAATATGACAGGCTAAGGGACCATTTGTTATGTATATGTGTATTTGTTCACCAACTATATCATGCTGGCCAAAATATGATCTGTAGCATGAATTAGGTTAATATGGTTGTTAGCTTTTTTTTTTTTAGAGAAAGTGGATGATGTACATTTTAGAAAATTAGTTAAATTTACATAGCCATTGATAGGAGGTATGTTGGTCTGGTTTTGATTGTTGGTGAATAATAGGTGCTTTTCTGTAGAGTTGTGCACAGGTGTGCAGTAAAGCAAGATACTGGTGTTTAAATGTATTGTTTCTTGGTATCTTCCTTTTGTATGTCTTATGTAGTTGGTGAGGTTACATACGTGGAGCTCTTTAAGGATGCGGAAGGAAAATCAAGGGTAAGTGCTGTGGGCAATAATCTGCTTGAGGTTTAAAAGTTCCTCAGCAGTTTACTTTTTTGTATAATATTTGTACCAGTTTTTGGAAACTTAAGTTTCATTTTGCTTTACTTTATTATGCAAGATTTGAGGCTTTATACTAGCAAGTCTGACACTTATCCAAACCAAACTAGCTGCCTGGAAGGGATGGGTTTCATAAAGGGCATTCACTTTTCTAATGCTCTAAGGTAATGCTTCTTCTTAACCAACAGACTTTAATATAGGATTTTTTTTTTTGTTGTGTTTTGATGTCTTCAAGGATATTTTAAAAGTTACTGAATTGATAATATTCCCTAAGAGTTCTATGAGAAGCCCATAGCTTAAAGGTGTTAATTCAGAATGTATGTTTGAAACTTTACATTGAAGAACTTAATTTGTTAGCCTGCAAGACTACATAAGAGGCAGTGCTCTGACCAATTGGTATGAATGACATTGATGATTAAATTGACATGGAAGGAATTGGTTGATAGTAGACTTTGATTTTTAGCAACAAGAAAGCAATATTCTGAAGAATACAGTGGAAAACTTTAAACAGTGTTTAATTATATTGGAAGAACCAGTTGGGTGCATGAGAAAAGCTTTGTCACTACATTCAAATGGCACTTCAAACAGTAATAATGACATGCTTATTTTTAAAATGATTCCATAAGTTTGTTTCTTTAGCATAGGTTGTTTTTTTTTTTTACATATTTAAACTGGATGCTATTAAATTGTATGCAGCCAGTTTTGTCTAATAGAGAACTGAGTTAAAAAGATTATTTCCTATATTGATTTAATAAAACTGAAAGATATACATTAAAATCAATTCGTGCATCATACATCCTTTGGAAATATTCCTAACGACATGAGAATGGGTGTATTGAAACCTTCAGTTATTTCCTTGAGTTACTTTTGACTGAATTTGTGCGATGATGTTACTTTGTCTTAGAGAAGAGTCCTCTAAAAGTAAATATTTGCTCCAAGCTTTTTAAATGCTAGATTTTACTTTCTTACATAGATGGATTTAAACATTGACAGGAAATTTGTGGTCACTTGCCTGTTGTGTTCTGGAAGTGAAAAAAGACAAAATGTAATTGTGTTATTGGTTGCTTTTAATGACTTAAATATTAGACTCTGCCATTAACTTCATCTACTGATCTAAAACTTTTTTTCTTTTGCATATATTGACAAATCTACCTGGATATAGGGTTGTGGGTAAGAATTTTTTTTTTTAAAGTATCAAGTCAAATTTAAACTTCTGATTGGGAAAAAGAAAACTTAGTATATAAACATTTCCTATAATTTTTTTCCCCATTAAGTGTGGTTGAATTCAAAGATGAAGAATTTGTAAAGAAAGCACTAGAAACTATGAACAAATATGATCTTAGTGGAAGACCCCTGAATATTAAAGAGGTAAGATTTCTTATATTTGGAGTAATTTAAACTTTGAATATAAGGGCATGTTTTCTTTGCATTTTCATCTTGGGGGATATATTTCTCTTACTGCAACTTTTTTCTTTTTCTTTCCTTTTTTTTTTTTTTTTAAGCATAGATGCTTACAAAAGCATTATATAATTGATGAAAGTTTTGCTTGTACATGCTTTCCTATTTGTCGTTAAGCAGTTTTCCTATGTGTTTGATTTGTCGCAAGTTGTTAGAAGTACAGACACATGATTAAAAAAAAAAATTCAGACATTTAATGATGGCAAACCTTAGGTGTGACTTTATTCGGTATAGACATTTTCAGTTTTTAGATTGTGTGGCTTAATTTGATAAATATAATAGATATTCTTGTAGTTGATAATAAAAAGTTGCTTAATAATGTAAATACCTTATGGATTTGAATAAAATTGATAGTCACTTTTAATGAAAATTACTCTGAAACTGTGCCAGATTAAAATTAAAAACAAAACAAAACAAAACAAAAAACGACTTGTGAATCTATTAGTGAAATTGTAACTGGAACTTGAACACCCCTAAAGTGGAGATACTCCCTTTGTATGGAACTATAGCAGTATAAATCTGTTGAAAAAAGAGTGGTCTGAAGATAACATGAGCAACTATTTACACTTAAGTGTAATTGACCTTGGTAATGATTAGTTTGAATAGCAGTCATTTTCATGTCTTCCTTTAGTTCATATTGGTACTCTTATCTGAATAGTTTAATCACAGACCGGTTACGTATATGTTTTTGCTAAATTCTATATTACGAATAATTGAGAACGTACTTAGGACCCTGAAGAGTCTCTACCAGCAAGCTTGCAAGTCATTGGTAGTAGAGCATTACTGTTGGTCACAGTTTAATTTGGTATAGAAGTGATTTGAATCCCAGCTCTATCACTTTCTGTGACTAGGCATATTACTTATTCTCTAAACCTCAGTAAGTATAATAGTACTACTGATAGTACTCACCTAATAGGGTTTTTATGAAGATTAAATGAGATAACTTGGCAAAGAATTCAGGCTCTGGTATCAGATAATCTGTGATTTAGGGCAAATTACTTACCTTTACTTACTTAACAAGTTGCCTAATTCTAATTCCTCTCTATTTCTTTGTTTCCTTATCACCAAAATGGGAATAATATTAGAAGCTATCTGATAGTTTTATAAGGACTCAGTTAATATATGTGAAGTATTTGATAAATGTTAGCTACTATGATTGTGATGTTATTATATAAAACAATTAGCACAGTGCTCAAAGTAGTATATAACTACGTAATAAATGTTAGCTGTATTAATAATTGATTGTTGTTATTCCTGTCCCAGGTGGGAATGTTACTGGTTGTTGGTCTCTTGATCCTGAGTATGAGGTGATAATAGCTTAAAATTAAAGGCCATGCCACCAGGAAATAGAAGTATCCCAAATCTTTTTATTGGAGTAAGCTCCTGAATTATTCTAATTCTGTTTGAGTCTGGGGGTTTGTTCTTCTTTTCTTTTTCCTTTTCTTTTCCTTCTGTTCCCTTCCCCCTTCCCTCTTCTCCCTTCCCCCTTCTCCCTTCCCTTCTTAAATATTTTGACTGGGAAGTGGAGAATTACAGAAAGTTTAGACTGTTGTCGTCTGTGCCAGCCATTTATGTGGTAGTTTTTATGCTACAAGCTGAGCCCATGTTATTTGTGTTATTTTAAGTTTTAGCACATCGTATATCCTCAGTAATATTTCAGAGACCCTAGTATAGAGTTATGTGATCCAAAATGATGTAGGTTACTTCCCATTTTAAGCTTTTTTAAGAGAGAAGTAACCGAATTTGGACTAGCTAAATGGAGAGGCACTCTTTATTCAGTTAACTTTTTTGGATTAATATCATAAAAGTTCCTGTCCTAGGAATATCTAATTTACAAATGGGTGGCTGAGCTCAGGGGTAAAACAACTAGTGAGAAAATACTAAGGAAAAATGTATTTCCAGTATGCCTTACCAGATAATTAGAATTGCATTTTTTCATTATCTGAAATGGAGGTTAGTAGCAGTTACAAGCTTATAGCAGGTAGTGACTACAAGGCTGTCATCTAAGGGGAAAAGAGGAATAAAAACCATGTTATGTTACGGCAATTTGCTTTATATAAATTGTATTTTATATATGTTTTATATGTATATGTATATATATTTTTGTGTGTACACATTTATATACATGTCAAATATAAAGAGACAAATCAAAACCTTAGCAATATGCTTTATTACGATATTAAGGACAAGCAACTTATCTTAATAGTTTATGATATATCTCTCCTACCCATCTTCCCCTCCCCATAGGTAACCACAATCCTAAATTTTGCATTTTTACAAGTTTTTGAAACTTTAGTTAGACCCAAAGTATTATTTATTAACTTAAAAATTTTATAGCATTTTTCAAAACATTTATTTATTTATGTCTGTATTTCTTTTTATTTCTTCATGGTGAAGACATACTTTGAAGCCTGTGTACCTTTATTCTTGCATTTACTTTTTCACCTTCTGTTTTCCCAGCCTTCCCAGAGAATTTCTGAAGGTCATCCAACTTTCTTTTTATTAGTATTCCCAGACTGAGACTAGTAGAGTTGAGTTGATGGTTAACGTTTGTCATTATCATTTAGTATTGCAGATGATAGTCTTATTAATGTTTATGTGTTTTTTTGTTTGTTTTTTGCATTCCACCTAGTGAGATGAGTGAGTGACAGGAGATGAGCTTAAACTCACTTTTTTAGTTTTGTTTAAAGGTAAAATATTTCTCTTAAAGAACTTTTTAAAAAGCCGTGTTTAGTATCATTTTTCCTTTTGACACAGCCTTTCTTTATCATCCCCCAACCCCCTTCATCTCAGGTCATAATCCATTGTTAGATCATAATCATTGTTGAAGGAAAAAGGTTGGAAAATGGATAATATTTTGTTCAGGAATGAAGCTTAGATGTTATAATAGTTTCCCTTTACCCCAGTATTTCTGGGTTTTATAACAGTCTGTTCCACAGTTAAAAAGCTTTGACTTAATCTGGTTTGGCATTGCCTTGGGCATCCAGTGGTGAGAATTCATCATTACTGGCATTTTGGAAAGAAAACAGTCAACAGTAAGTATTTTGTTCCTCTTTGAGTTATGTATATTTATGTGGATGTGTCATATATTTGAACACTAGTATGAGGGCAAAATTAAACTAATTTCAAGTTCTTAAGTGACTTTAGTGATTGGAAAGAGGTATTTAATTGACACCCCTGGAGACTGAAATCTTTTGTCTGTCCACAGGTTTTTATGGGACTGAATTCTCTGGATAAGAAAAAAAGCTCACTCTTCAAGAGGGTCAATAATTTGAGCCAGTTGGGATAGCTACTGTAGAATTTGAAGTTGTTATTTTAATGATACAGATTTACTGATGTATCTAGTGGTATTTAACATTCAATGTGTGTTATAGGATCCTGATGGAGAAAATGCTCGTAGGGCATTGCAACGAACAGGAGGATCATTTCCAGGAGGACATGTACCCGATATGGGATCGGGGTTGATGAATTTACCACCTTCCATTCTCAATAATCCAAACATTCCTCCTGAGGTTATCAGTAATTTGCAGGCTGGTAGACTTGGTTCCACAATTTTTGTTGCTAATGTAAGTTTAAGCTTTAGTCTAAAATTTTGTCATTCAGATAATTAGTTCTAATCATGAGATTATTAAATTAGATGAATGGTTTGTATGTAGGTTTATAGAACATTTTTCTTATTTTTGACTGAAGTAAGCGAAACGTTAATTACTGTAAACTTGAATCCAATTTAAGTCTCTCTCTCTCTGTGTGTGTGTGTGTGTGTGTGTGTGTGTGTGTATAAGGTTAGGGTGTAAATATGAGTAGGATTCTTTAGAAGAGAACTGTGGAATTTATAAATACCTAAGCAGTTCTTGAAAATGTTTACTTGCATTATATGTGATTTTTGTTCATATTGGGAAATGGATTTCTTTCTTTAGCTTTGTTATTTGATATTTGTGAATGTGCGCATTGTAGTTGGTCTGTCATTTGTTCTAAGCTTTTAAAAGTCAGTGGTATCAACAATACTTTCCAAAATCTGAATTTTTCTCAGTAAAAATAGATGTGCAAGTTTCAAATATATAAAACAGGATTGGGCAGTTGAGAGACTATTTTGGGAAAAAAATTAAAGATAAGGAACAATGTGGATGTAGCTTAATTGATTTTTAAACAACTTAAGATGTTTTTATTTGAATATTATCGATGTACTAACAAGAAGTATAGTTCTTCATAGTTTTGAGAGTTCAGAAAAGATTTATTTGTATTATAAATGGGGAGAAGGGTTTATTAGGTATGTAACTTTATATAATTTTATGTTAAGCTTGACTTCAAAGTTGGTTGGAAGAAGCTAAAGGAGGTGTTCAGCATAGCTGGAACTGTAAAGCGGGCAGATATTAAAGAAGACAAAGATGGCAAGAGCAGAGGAATGGGCACAGTCACTTTTGAACAAGCAATTGAAGCAGTTCAAGCAATTTGTATCCTAATTTACACTTTAGCCTTATTTAATAAGGTTGAAGAAGCTTGATACCATTTTGTGGGGTCATGAAATTTAAGGTTGCCTGGCTTAGAAATGTATATTAGACTTTAGTCTCCAGCACATAAAACCTTTACTATGTCCAAGTACTAAAGTCACTCTTAAAACTTGAATTAGCTATTTTGTATAAGCCTGGTATGAACTTTTTTCAACTTTCTCTTCCTACCACAACTAATGGTATGTATATCTGCTTGTTGACAGTTAATGTAATCCATAGTACATTAATGCAGTTGCTTGAAATGAAGCCTTGTTAATTTTCTTTTTTCAGTGGTTAAAATAAAAGGTTGTATTTTACTTATAAAACTGTAAAGCAAAGATTTCAAGATTTTTCTTTGAACATTTGGAAGAGACTAATACAAATAAATACAATAGCAAAGATGTTGATTAAAATTTTAGAGGTAGTCTGACTCTAAGATTATTAAAAATGTCTGTTCAAGTATAATTTTATAGTCTTAATGGACTTTCCTTGACTGAACCAACAGCTATGTTCAATGGGCAGTTTTTGTTTGATAGACCTATGCATGTGAAAATGGTGAGTTTCTATATATCACTTCGACCCTCCAATCTCTTCAGCCTCATTTATCTGCTCTCCTCTGCATTACAGATCCTTTTAGTTCTGTATTAACCGTATAATAAACTTTTTTTGCAATTAGGATGACAAGTCTGTCCCTCATGAAGACTACCGTTCACACGATAGTAAAACACCACAGCTACCACGTAAGTAAAAGTTATTATTAGAAACAATGCACACCATTTCTTTTCTATTTTATTATATGCTAAGCAGAACTCCATTTTTGTGCCTGTATCACAAATTTCTGACAGTTTAGGGTTAGTTTGGAGTTAATGAGGTAGATTGTCATGATTGATGAGGAAGACTGAGAAGATATTTTTCTTTTGGTGGTTTTTATGGATTATAACAGCAAAACATACTAAAAAAAAATTTGGTAAGTCCATATACATGAAGGGAATAAGGAGTCCTTTTAATTTTACGACAAGTAACCTCCATTATAACATTTTTGTGTATTTTTTATCGCTTTCCTTATATATGTGTGTTTAACATTAATAAGCAGTATCCCATGTTGAAATTCCAAGTGTTTTTATTGGGTGTATAATAGTCTTTTGTTTAGGTGCCCCAGAATTATTTCACTGTTAATGTTAGGTATATTTTTTAACTTTTTTTTCTTTAATTATCAACAGTTATTCATATCTTTGTATACAGATATTTGGTATGATTTTGGTTATTTCCTTCAAGTTGATATACAGGTTCTCAGGCATGCTTATTGATCAGTATTATCTAATTGTTTTCTAAATGATTAAAGAACAGTACCTAACAATTTTGTCTCAATGCTCCATCTGCAAAATGAGGATGAAAATAGCACCTGTATCATGGAGTTGGCATGAGTGTTGCATGAGTTAATATATGTAAAGCACTTAGAACAGTTCTGATATAATATATAAACACTTGAAAATACTAGTTCTTGTTCATACCATTTTATTGTACCGTCTCTGGTTTTTATTAAAAAAAATTTTATTTTAAAATATTTTAAATATAGACAAATAAAATTACTCCTGTAGCTATCACAGGCCATAATTGTTTTAGATGAGTTTTCTTTAAAATAAAATTTTACAGATAAAGTTGAGACTCCCCCTCTCTCCTGACTACCAAATACCATACCAAAAGGAAGCAACCTATGAATATAGTGTTTATCATTTAGGTTTTAGTGATTTGGCTACGCATTGATACATCCATAAACACTATATGAAATTGTTTTGTTGGATATAAAATTTGGGGTGAGTGACATCATATTGTATATATTATTCTACAAGTTGTGTTTTTGGTTTAATATTTTCAAGTCTGCGACCATACCACCCTGAACGTGCCCGATCTCTAATATTTTCAAGATGCATTTACATTAATGTATTTTTTAGGTTATTCTATATATTCTATTTTTTAGGTTATTCTGTTTTCTTGGGGAGTTGGGGAGTACTTACTCTTTTTTTTGTTAGAATAATCTCTTCTCTCAGTGTTCAACAAAAATTACTTAGAATGCTGTCTGACCTTCTTGTATAATTTGGGGGAAGATTTGAACTAATGATTGTATTTCCTATCACCTCTTTAGTCAATTTTGGTAATTGCAGTTTTTCTAAGATTTTTACCATTTTTGTTCATTTTCAGGTTTATTGGCATTACATAGTCTCTTAAATTTCTACTACATCTTTGGTTTTTCCCTCTGATAAATTCAAAAGGTTTACAATTTCTCTTTGGTCTGGTCGGTTTTGCTTAGATTTTTCAGTTTTATTAGTGCTTTCAAACAAATTAATTTTTGTATCTTAATTTCTGCTCTTTGCTTTAGTACTTTCTTCTGTTTCTTTCGGTTTAGTCTCTTGTTTTGTCCAAATTCCTTAAGTTGAATGTTTACTTGACTAATTTTGCAGCCTCTCCTTTAGTAAAAGTAGATATAACTATTAAATTAAGCTGTTGTGCACAGGTTTTGCTATGGAGTATTTTTATTGTGATTTATTTTTTGTTAAATTACTGTTATGATTTCTTCTTAAGCTATGCATTTTTGAGTTTCTAAATGTAATAGAGCTTTTTCTTACTAATTTTTTAATTTAACAGTGTAGCCAGAGGAGATATGATTGTGATTCTTGGAATTAATTTGGACTTTGCATTGTGGCCTAATATATGGTGCTGTTTAATATATATTCCATGTGTGCTTGGTGAGTGCAGTGTTCTACATCTGTCCAGTAAATCAAGTTTGTTAATCATTTATAATTTTTTATATCTCTACTAAATCATGTCTGCTTGTGCTGTCAGTAGTGAGAGATGTACAGGGTATAATTTCCCACTAGAATGTTGGATTTGTCTTATTTTTTGTTTTTACTTTAAATATTTTGAAACTAACTTAGGTACATCCAAGTTTAAAACTGATATATTTTCCTAATGAATCAAAATTTTATCATTATAATTTTATCTTTATTAACTAGGTCTTTTGTCTATTATTAATATAGATAGAACAGCTTTGTTTTGTTTATTCACGTTTATTGATTTATTTAGATTAATTCCATTTTCTTATTTTGTGTTCTGTTTTTCTGCTTCTTACAAATATTTTTCTCCTATCTTGCTTTCTCATTTAGTGGTTATCCTGTATTTTTAGTATAGCTATATAATATCTGAAGTTAATGTAATTATTCTTTTACTCAATAATAGAGTGACCTTTGAATGTTTTAGTTCTGATCACTTTCCTACTGAATTATATGCTGTTATTGCTCATTGTCTTAGTTTTGTATTGCTTTCTTTTCAGCCCCACAAAGTAAGCATTACCACTTTTTAAAAAATCTTACCTTTCTTTGCTTTCACAGATTCTGGCACTAGTGTTCTCCTCCCCTGCCCCCCCCCCCCCCCCGAAGGTTACATTTTAAAAGCTCTTTCAATGAGGATCTGTTGTTGGTAAATTGTCTCAACTTTGGATAGTCTTCAAAGATAATTTTACTGGTTTGTAGTTTAAGATAATTATTTTGTTTCAACACTTTGAAAATATCCCAGTCTTCTGGCTTCCATTTGTTGCTTTATTAAGTCACTATCAGTTGAAATGTCCTTTCTTTATAGGTAGTCTTTATTCTTCTTATGGTTGATTTTTAAGACATTTATCTTTGGTATGCAATTTTCTGCAGTGTGGGTATGAATTTTTATTGGGCTTTCACGATATTGGAATGCAGTTTTTTTTTTTTTTTAAGTAAATTCTGGAAAATTCTCAGCTTATGTGTCTTTGCAAATTGCCCTTTTTCTCTTTATAGGGCAGTCTTTTCCTTCCTCAATCAAATTTACCTTATCACTTAAGATGTCATCTTTCAAGATCCTATCTGGCTTTCTGCAGGGGCTTTTGGTTTACTTTTTGACTATTAAGTATACTTCTATTTATTTAGATTAAAAAATATCCTCTGTTATATTCAGACTTCTTCTATATCTATTTTTTGATATTTATGTTTTTTATATTTTCTTCTCTATTGACATATAGTATGAATTCATAGACTTTGACGGAATCCGTTTGTTGTCTAATCATTAATGTCCTTATTTTTCCCTTCTCTTCTTTTGCTCAAATTATTGTAACTTGTCAAGTGGGGGCTTTCTCATTTCCTATGCTGCTGATTCTCTTACTTTTGGTAAAAGCATGATTTCCCAGATTTGGGAAGATTTTTTTTTTTTTTTTTTTGGTCCCAGAGACATGAGATTGGCCTAGTTTCAAGGAGTCCTAGTTCCTTTTAGTGAAGAATGATATAAGAGATGAAAATATGAGTTTTAGGTGTAGACCTAGGCATTGCTGATGATCAAATATGCTGTTGCTTTCAGTTAGACCAATTTTAGGAACTGAGCAAAAAAAAGATATTTCTTTTACCAGATCACAATCTTTCCAATTTAACACAATGTGCTTCCGTACTTTATCTTTTAAAATATATATATGGTTTTCTCAGCCCCTGTCACCCAATTGCTACATTGACTAGCAAGAACTTTAAAGCCAGACTCAGATTTAGTAGAATAAAATAATTCCCACTCAAATGTCAAGTCTTTAAGGTCATCAGATTAACTTCTTAAAGTCTATTTCAACAAATTTAATTAGTTTATTTTAAGAGAGGTAGTAAAAGGAATACTGGATTTAGAGATAGAAAACTTAAATTCTAGTCCTAGCTTAATCACATAGCTAAGTGGTGTCATACAAGTAACTTAAGGTCTCAGAGATTTCCTCCTTGTATGGAAAAGAGATGTGAAAACACTTTAAGATGCCATATAAAATGTAAGTAAATATCTCATGGACAAAACCAGGTAATGTAATATTTGTTTTATCCAGTATTATGTTTTCATTGTTGTTGATCTTTTAGTTTGATTTAAAGTATCTTAAAAGTAATTCTTCTACTTTAAGTGGTTCTACAAATTTGAGCAGGGTTCTCATTTTCAGATATGTATACCATTTATAAGGTATATAATATTATTTAAAATCCTGTTGGTATTTTTTTGGTCCTTCTCAATATGCCGTGAAACTAGGATATAAGTAAGATAAGCCTGCTTCATTAATAAATGGTATTATAGTGAGGCTTCAGTGTGCTGTGTTTTGATGAAAGCAAGAGCCAGGACTCTTATTTGCAAATTTGCATAATTTTGGAAATAATCCTACAGGCATCTACCTTTACAAACTTTATTTTGCCAGTTATTTATATATGGGTTAGTAATAGTCTTACTTATGTTTTAGGTGGTCTTGGAGGCATTGGAATGGGACTTGGTCCAGGTGGACAGCCTATTAGTGCCAGCCAGTTGAACATAGGTGGTGTTATGGGAAATTTAGGTCCAAGTGGTGAGTATTCTCACTTATTTCTTTTTTAGTGATACATTTGCCAGATGACAACACTTACATTTACTAGTTTGTAATAATATTCAAAAGACTATTTTACAGTTAAGCATTTTGGATGTCATTCAATCTGAATAAAGAATGAAACCTTGAGAGCAGAGAACATGAAAGAGGTGAGCAAAGGTCAGGCAGGTTCTTCTGAGGGCAGTTGTATTGTAGCTAGCTTTTTAGGGGATTTTAAAGTGTCTTTAAGGCAGAGGGAGAATGTTTAAACATAGTGTCTTGTGTGTCATGGATATACGGTATTTGTGGAATGACTGAAATGCTACCCTGTCAGAAGCAGGTTAAATTTTTATATGTAGATGGGAAAGTAGCTTTTCAAAGAGCTGTTTGGCTCTTTACTTGGACTAATATACAGTTTATCTTTGAAGATCAGTTTTTAAACATTGTGGTTTCAGAACCCTTTTACTCTCTTAAAATTTGTTGAGGATCCCAAAGTGCTTTTGTTTATGTGGTTATGTTTGTCAGTATTTGCCGTATTAGAAATTAAACCCTAGAAATTTAAAAATACTTGAATATTTATTTAATATAACAATAATAATATCATGTTAATATAAATACAATTTTTAAGAAAATGAGTTGTATTTTATAATACAAAGAAATTAGTGAAAAGAGTGGCATTGTTTTTACCTTTTTGTACATCTCTTTAATGTTTGGTTTAATGTAAGACAGCCAGACTGTTATATCTGTTTCTGCATTTAGTTTGTTATAATATTGTACATCATGTAGTTCCTGGAAAATCATACCTTATATTCATGACAAAATGAAAGTAAAACAGTCAAATAATATCTTAATGTTATGTGATGAATGAAATAGTTTTGACTTATTGGACCCCAGACCCTACTTAGAGAGCTGCATCTTAATTGATGGACTAATCAATGCTATCAGATTCCTGTTTTTGCTGAGATGCTATAGCTAAACTTTTAAATTATAAGGATAGTTTTGGTAATCATTTTGACCCAAACAGAAACTTTGTCCCTTACTCTTAAGCCCTCCGACCTCCTAAACACATGCTATTTTATTTTTAGTTTTTTACTACCCCTTTAGCTGGCATGTAAGGAGTCCTTACTTTCTGATTTGATCTCTGAATCTGCTGTGGTGATATTTGTGTGTATGTGTGTTAAAAAAAAAGTGAACAATGACCTAGTATTAAATATTCTGTACTTGAATGTGAGTGTGACCAGTGAATTTTGTTTTCTCATTCAATAAATATTCATAGAGGCCTTTTTGAAGACTAATGATTAAATAGCTGATGTGGCATAGCACTTTAAAGCGTGCCACCTGTCCCCATCCCCCACTGCTTCTCTAGCATTCCATCATGACTAGACCAGTGGTACCTTTTGCTGTATTGCGTTATGTCATATTTTCAGTCATAAAAATAAGATTGACTGAACGTACATACTGTGTATTTTATTTGAGGTATGGGAATGGATGGTCCAGGTTTTGGAGGAATGAATAGAATTGGAGGAGGTATGTATAAGCGTTTGTTTTTTGTATGCACCCATTACCATTTTTAGTAAATTAGAAGCTGTGTTGAGAAACCCAAGGAAAAAAGTCATGGTTTATTGTTGGCTCACACCTAAAGACCACTGGCAGGTACTGAGCCTGGTACATACTTAGGGGATATGGAAATTGATGTGTTGAGAAGCCCCTGGACAAAGTAGGGTGGATGAAGAGCTTACTGGTGAGACTTAATCTTTACCAAATGTAGCTTTCAGCTGTATAACTGACAGGTAAATCTCAAAATTAATCTTTATTCCATAGGAATTGGGTTTGGTGGTCTGGAAGCAATGAATAGCATGGGAGGATTTGGAGGAGTTGGCCGAATGGGAGGTAGGTGAATGTAGGAATGTGTACTGTAGATGTCTTCAAAGGGCATATGGGCATAGGGAATAGGGATAGGCATGATGGGACTGGGGATAGTATATGGCGTATGAGGTAAGTTGGTGAATCACAGACTTTTGTTTTTGTGACTTTTGCTGTCTCTTCAGTTTAGTTTCAAAATATTCCTAAATGGAATACCATGTAACTGATGTACTTGAAAAAGTTAATTTGTTGCATAATCTTTTCAGAGCTGTACCGTGGTGCGATGACTAGTAGCATGGAGAGAGATTTTGGACGTGGTGATATTGGAATAAATCGAGGCTTTGGAGATTCCTTTGGTAGACTTGGTAGGGCTGGCTGCATATTTTTCCTTTTCTTTCTGCAGGTCATATTTTTCAAAGTCTGTTTCCTTTTATTGTGAACGATTGGAAATTTGTAATGTTTCACATAATTTATAACTTGATGAAAAAACACTTTAGGAATTTTAATGTACTCTCTTTTTCCAGTATATTATGTATTTGACCCCTATTTCTAGACGACTTATATTTTTTGCTTACTTCTGAGAGCATAGTACCGTGGAATTTTAAAATATGATTATTCAAATTAATTAGTATATTATCTTTCCATCCTTGTTTAGGCAGTGCAATGATTGCAGGAAGAATAGGAGCTTCTAACATGGGTCCAGTAGGATCTGGAATAAGTAGGTTTAAATTTTACTAGAATTTATTCAGTAATATTTGAGTGCTTGCAAAAGACTTTGCAAGAGTAGTTATTATAGTATAGTAATACTTTGTTTTTATGTGTTAATGTCTTGTCATAATTTAGAGAAATTTTGATAGTTGTTGAGCTTTTCTGTTTGATCACTGTTTGAAATTTCTAAACCAACTTGGAATTTTACTTCTTTGACATTTATAAACTAACGCCAGAGTATGTGTTAACTGTCAGGTAATCCAAGAAGCTCCATTCCAACTAAGGAATCTGGGGATTTCCTCTGATCATGTCAGGAGCAACTTTTGCTTTAGCACCAACTTTGTTTCCTTGCCTGTTGTCTACAGTTGCTGTTGGTGACTAGCTTATTTCATCTGTAAACAACTTGTGTCTTTTGGTAGATGAACGTGAATCACCCCAGTTATAACCCCCTGTAGAGACCTCCTGAGGTTGAGGGCTGAGGTTGAAAGAGATGCTTATTTCTTTTTCTCTTAAGAACCTTTCCTGTGACAGAATCAAGAGTAGTTGCAACATTGGGGAATGCCCATTTCTTCCACGTGTTTCCGCTACCACATTTGAGGCCTTATATTAATTCTTAAAGACATGGCTCAGTTTTTGATCTCTGTTGCTTATTAAGCCATGTGTCTTTGAGCTCTCCATACTCTACTGACTTCCTTTAATTGATTGAAATCTCACAAATAGGAAATAGAACCTACTTGGGCTTTTCTAAAATCCTGTCAGCTAAAGATATTTACTTGCATTGTACCTTGCTTCTCATTCCCTTTCATCATTTTCTCAGCCGTGAGGTAATTTTCCCATTAATCTTAACTTCCCTACTTTCTCTTTTCACCTCAGTGTTTATACTTCTGTTTCCCTAACTTTATATATGTTGTTCATAGAAAGTCGATTTAAAGGTGATGTTAATTTTTATAATTTCTGTGTGTGGGGATATTAGTACAAGAAAAAAGGATAAGTTTTGAGAATGAATAGGATTGGAATTAATTAAAGGGGACTTAGTGCATAAGAATGAATTGGGTATGAGCTGTGAATTAAATTTCAAGCTCTGGCCAAAGGGGTGTGATTCCATTTTTTTGCTATCTCCTTAAGTTCTATATAATATTGAGATTAAAAGTTAGGTTTTACTGTGGTCATTGAGAAGCTAAATTACATGTGAAATGGAAGATACTGAGGTTAAAAGAATATTATGTAAGGGAGTATGATGAGACTAACAGTTAATGTGTTGGAGTTATAATAATTTGAGTTCACTTCATATATCTTTGTTCTAGCATTTATTAAACCTGGTTTTATTAGATAAAAATGATAGAAACTAGTGTAACATTAATGGATCAAATAATTGGTAGGGAATTTATATCCTATGTATTTTATGATCAGAATTTAATTTATAGAAGTATATATGATGTATTCATGTAGTGGCTAGAATGAACAGATTTGGTTAGTGATTAACAGTCAACTAAATGTATATCAAATTCTGCTTCTTGGAAGATTGTTCTATTGTGTATATGAAAATAATTTTATGTTTATTATCTACTTATAGAAACGAATTAATTTTTCTCTTCTTTCTCAAAAATGATTCCTCCTCTTCCTCCTCTTCTTTCTCCTTATTCTTCTGTTTTTTTTTTTTTTTTTTTTTTTAAAAACACCCAAATTCCCAAATCCTCCCCTTCCTTCCTGAACTCTAGGTGGTGGCATGGGTGGCATGAACAGTGTGACTGGAGGAATGGGGATGGGACTGGACCGGATGAGCTCCAGCTTTGATAGAATGGGACCAGGTATAGGAGCTATACTGGAAAGGAGCATCGATATGGATCGAGGATTCCTATCTGGTCCAATGGGAAGCGGAATAAGAGACAGAATAGGCTCCAAAGGCAACCAGATATTTGTCAGAAATGTAAGCAACTAAATGTAAAGGATGCTTAAAATTATTTTTTTCTTTGTATATCTGTTACTAATACATTTTTTCATTCTAGCTGCCTTTTGACTTGACTTGGCAGAAACTAAAAGAGAAATTCAGTCAGTGTGGTAAGTATGCTAATGACTGCAGACATGTTAATATTGATTATGGAGGAAAAATTGATTTTAGACTTTTTAAACACTGTTTAAAAACAGACCTTACCTGTCCAGATGTTTTTTCCTGGATAGTATGACAGGTCTAATTCCACTTCAAATCAATTATTCTGCTAACCTCTGACATTAGTGCAAATTTACTACTAAATAACAAGATTCAGAATAGAGCCTGCCTGCCATTGTCTTCTGTGGATAAAGAAAACGCTTGTTTTATTAACCTTATTTTTAAAAATTAATATATCATCATTGCTTGTATTTAAAAATATTTTTTTTCTGTGGGAAATAATAATGAAGGGTATATTTATTTCCTTGTTTGTAATATAGTGCAGTGCATTGTCAACATGATCCCAAAATGCTGGCATCCAAATGATGTGGAGTTAATAGATGAGACCCATTCTGCACACTTTGTTGCCCATACGACACAGGATACTTAGCTGATAGCATAGAGTCCACTGGCTGGAATTCCTTAGACAGGTACATTCTGGTGGCCCTTCTAGCCCTTTTATAAACTATTCTTGGCTGTGGTGATACTGTCTATACAACCTTACTGTGTTCATTAGGCCTGTAGAAGATTAGGTGGTTTTATTACTTTAAAAGAGGGCCTTTCTCTTAATGATGAGAGAATTAGTGTGATCAAAGTGACCATGTGGCTGTCATCTCCTGTGTTCTCAGGGTACTTTATACCCAACTTTGTGGTAATAATCTGCTCACATGTTTTCTTCCCTGCTAGATGGAGGCTCTTAATGCAAGAACTGTCATCTTTTTATTCTAACATTTTTCATTGCCTTGGTACATATAGTAAGACTTTATTAGATGTTTAGAGTGAGTTAAGCATTCTGAGTAGATCTTCATTCGTTTATTCAGTTATTTATTGAATAAATCTACAATTTTTTTGTGAGTCTGTCTAGGATGTTCCTTTGACTCCTTTTGTTGATAGTCTTTTTTTTTTTTTTGTATTTCATTTGCATTTTATTTAAAGAAGAGAAACAACATTTTTTTTTATTGTAAAAAAGTTGTTGAAAATGGGTTAACTGTTAAATAGGTACCACTAAGAGAAAGCAGGATTGTAACATTGTTTTGCAGTGTTGGTAAAATTTGTATGAGTAGGAATATCTATCAGAATGGGTAAGCAGCATCTGGCTACGAATCACATAGACTGGGGAGGAATGAACATATTATGGCCTTAGTAAAATAGGTCAAATGAGGAGCAGTGGCAGCAGGTATAGATGATCTCTGTTATAGTTTCAGTAGAAAAAAAAAAATCTCAAATGAGATATGTGAGATTATTTTGATCAGTAGAACTGAGACAAGAATAAAATGGGGAAACAATGACATTAATGAAAATGTGACCAATATTGAGTTGACTTTATCATTTGTAGGCATATCTCTTTTTTGAGGTCAGACATGAACAAGGCTTGCAGCAAACTTCAAGTCTTTTGGTGGGCTTATTAGTGGAGTGGCATTGTTTTGATAGAAGGACATCAGAAATTCAAAAATATTTTCTGAAAGAAAAAAGATAGTATCCAAATACACATTTAAAAAATGTGTACAGCGTTTTAGCTGATAAAATGGTTATTATTCTTTTGTTATTTTAGCGTTCTTCCTATGTCCTTTATTTGATCAGTCAATAGTATGAGAGTAATGATTTTTGTTTTTCTTCTCAATTCTGTTGTAAAAGCTTCTGACTTTTAGGTTTATATTAAAGTAATACCATATTTAAATAATTCCCTACAATCTTGCTGTTTTTAACCTTGAACTACAATGATGGGAAGGAAAATAAGTTACGGTAATATAGAATTAAGTGTCTAGCTATTGACATCTATGGAAATTATCTGGCTTGTATGAACTAAATGATCCATCTTTCTGCCACATCTCTTTATTTTTAAATCTTAGAAAGTTTATTCTTTGTTAGTATGTGAAGCTGCTGCAAGTCAGTAATGACCTCTTTCACAGTAAAAGGCAGGTTTTTGTTGATTGCTTTTTCCCCCCTTGAGCCCAAAGTGAGTAAGTATATACTTTAGTTGCTGCTTGGTAAGAGTCTAGTGGTACTCCAGACTTCTTCCCTGGACAATATCTGCCTATAAATGGCTGATTAACAACCCCCTGGTTGTTAAGTATCTATATAGATCTTCCTCGACTTAGGATGGTGTTACACTTAACCTACTGAGCATCATAACCTCACCTAGCCCACCCTAAGCATGCTCAGAATACTTAACATTAGCCTACAATTGGGCAAAATCCTCTAACACAAAGCTTATTTTATAATAAGGTGTTGAATATCCCATGTAATTGATTAAATATCGAAAGTGAAACATTGAATGGTTGTGTGGGTACAGAATGGTTATAAGGACGTGGATTGTTTATCCTTGTGATTGCCTGGCTTACTGGGAGTTGCTGTTCAGTGCCTTCTGCCCAGTATCAGGAATATCATACCAGACACATATCACTAGCTTGGGAAAAGATCAGAATTCAAAGTATAGTTTCTACTGTGTATTGCTTTTGTACCAACAATGTCAAAAAAATTGTAAGTCAAACCATCATAAGTTGGGACTATCTGCAGTGGTTAACTGCCCTTGAAAGGGCAAATACTGAAGCTAAAAAAATGTATTTTAGGTTATACTACATTCAATACATTTCCTCAGCCCTAGGGGAAAATGTGTTCAAATATCCCCGAATGTATAACAAGATGAGAAATAAGTGACTGTGGTAAACATAGATCTCTTTTTATCCTACCCTATGTAATTCATCAGTGACATGCATTTTTAAGAAATCTGAGTATAAATAAGTATACTTATGGGTATAAGTATAACTGACCCATTCAGAGTCAGACCCCACATTAGTTTAAGTTCTGCTAATGGGGTCAAATAGACATAGTCTTTCAAACTTGCTCCCATATTTACTGTCCACTTTAACTGTATTCTGACCTTCCGGTTCAGTGTGATGCAGGACCATAACATATTAGAACTACAGTGTAAAAAAAAAAAGCTTATTTAATTATTCCTCCTATAAACTATGGAAACAAATACAACTTTGTTTCACATATTTCCGTTACAGAGTTTTCTAGACCAGTGTACTTGATCCAGATAGAAAGTAGAGACTTGTAGTAGATTTTATTTACCAAAGCACATGGTGCTTTAAGCATAACTAGTGGACTTTTTTTTTTTTTTAAAGATTTTATTTTTTTATTCATGAGAGACACATAGAAGCAGAGAACATAGGCAGAGGGACAAGCAGGCTCCTTGCGGGGAGCCCAGCGTGGCACTCCATCCCAGGATCCCAGGATCATGACCTGAGCCAAAGGCAGATGCCCAACCATTGAGCCACCCAGGTGTTCCATGACTGGTGGACTTTAACTATGGAATGATTTAATAGTAAAGATAATGTGCAGTAACAGTAAAAATAATATACAAAGAGTATTCATTGATATAATTACTTTTTTTTTGTTGGTAAAGAAACACTGAAGCATTGTTTTTTTGTCCTTTATATCATAATTATGGCTACTTGTAGAATATCTGATTTTGCTTTTATTTCTTGTGGTTATGTTACAACTTCATTTGGTAGTACATTTTACTGAACTATTTATTTATTTGTGCTTTAATTTGGCATATTTTTAGATGTGCTTTTATATCAGCATTTCCCAAAACATATCACAGGATGTTAATAGGCTGGATTAAATAAAGTGAAAAGTTTTCTTTCGGCAGGATAGGTTATTTGTATAAATAGTACGGCAGTGTTAACTATAACAGCAAGATGTTTGATTATTCTGTGGTACTGATTTCTCATTGCATACTATTTTGTCCTGTACTGCTGTTAAAATAGCAGTTCTGTTTTTGTTTTTGTTGGAATCATACAAGATTGGTAGATATTTAAGTCACTCAAGAAAGTCCTCAAGAGCATGTAAAAATAGCCAGAGGTCTGGTTTTAAATTTTTGAAACTACATTTTTTTCTCCTGAATTATTTATCTTTAGAAAAGCAAATTATCTCAATTAGTGTTTTTATGGTATTAAGAAGAAACTTAGAAAACCTATAGCTCTTGCTGGTTCTGTTCTGCCAAGTAGGGGTTTCTGGACAGTCTAACCATGAAACATGGATATCTATAGGCCACTTTCAATAGCCTTAGTGTCCAAACTGTAAGCATGTTGAAGCATCTTGGTCAAGAGACCTTGTCAGATTGAAAAGCCATGAGATCATTATGAGTTCAGGAATTTGAGGGTCTGGATGTTGGTTTCTAAACTGAGAGAGACAATTTAAGAGAAAAAAAGAGGCTTGTCTTGAAAGATTGAGATAGATTTTGCACGAGATAATTACATATTTTCCTTTGAAGTTTTGAAGATTTCTTGCTTGAGTGAACCTTACTATTATTGCTAATAAACTGATGATAAGATGCTTATGTTAAGTAAAGCCCTAAGTTTTTATAAAAGGTAAAAGTAAAAGTAGAATAAGGAAGAAACTCTAATCTTAAAAGCCCTTGAAAATTTTTCACAGTATCCTTCGGAATCATTGTGCATTGCTGCCATTTATGAAGGTATGCGTCTTTAATTAAACTTGTTTTTTTCAGGTCCCAGCATTCAAGATATTAGGACTCTGGAAATTGCTCTGTGTCTGTCTTTATAGCTTTTTAAAGTTTCATTTTACGTTGTTTATTAGAAAATGCAAAAGTTTCATTTTATGTTCATTAGAAAATGTGATTTCTGTGCTTTTTGTTTTGTTTTAACCAATTGTAGGTTATATATTTGAATTAACTTTAATCATGATAATAAAATTTTTTTTCTGGGAACTAGTCTGTTTTATGACTTTTAGAAACAGTTAAAGGCTGCCTGGGTATAAAATCATGGGTTTGGCTCACTATGATATTTATTAACTTAGACCATGTAATTAGTATTGAGTGGGTATTGAGTAGTTGACTACCAGTTGGTTTAAAAAAATGCAGTAACGGTAGGATGCAAAATGGATGAAAAGACAAAAATAGAAGAGTAGTCTCAAGTTGTAAATAAGAAAGCATTCAGTTCAAGAGTTAAACAGAAAACAAATTTTTCTACTTATGCATTGAGATTAAAACTGATCCTATCACCCGGAAAAGAGATTATGGGATTTTTTGATAAACTCTTTGCTTTTATTTTTCCCCCTTCTTTTTTAGTCCCTTTATTAGAACTAAATGTGCTTGCCTTTTAAGTTTGTTGCCAGACTAAAATTAGCCCAGAGTGATTTGGCAACTATATAATATTCAAGGGAAAGGAAATATTATGGTAGGTAGGCACACAATTCACCTAAATCTGTGTGGATCTGGTGAGAATACATCCCAGTTTGCCTGGGGATAGTTTCCCTTTGCAGCTGTTATTTATGTATAATTACTAATAACTTTCCATTTAACTCTCTAAAGTTTCTAGTTTGGATGGTGGGTTTTTATGGACGTTTTATAACTTGATAAGTGATAACTAATTTACTCAAAAACCAGTCTCTAGAGTCAGCAATAATATTAACTGTATATGGAATAATTGTCTGATTTTCTTCTTCCTCCTTGAAGCTTCTCTGAGGTTCTTTCATCTTAGTGTTCTTATCATCACTGTTTTTACTTTTATTGTTTTAAATCTATGATCTCTCTTCCATGCCAATTTCCATAACCCATTTGGTGCTACTCTTACACTGGAGTTCAAATTGTGATATTGAATAAATAAATGAGTTTGGCACTGATAAGCAGAGTTAGTGGGACCCTTTGTTGCCTGGTAAAAATTAAAATTCTGAGCAATTGGTACTATTTGCAGGGATGAAGGAATGAAGGGGGATAAAAGGGAAAGGAGAGATTAGGGGGATTGGGCAAAAAGCGACAATTTTTTCTAAAACTAATTTTGTTTAAATTTGTAAGTTTGTTATTGGGCACATTGACTTGGTGGCATTTTGTGCTAGTTTGCCTTACTGCTATAAAATTTACTTCAGAAACTAAAAAACTTTTTAAAGACTTTATTCATGTGAGAGAGAATACATACAAGCTGAGGGAAGGGCAGAGGGAGTGGGGAGAAGCAGACTCCCTGCTGAGAAGGGAGCCTGACTGGGGCTCAGTCCCAGCACTCCTGAGGGAGCATGACCTGAGCCAAAGGCAGACGCTTAACTGACTAAGCCACCCAAACACCCCTGGAAACTAAGAATTAAATATAAGAAATAAATTTTTAAATTTTCTATTTTAATAAAATAGTAAATCCTCAGCAAGTTATTTTGATTCCTATTTTGTATATTTTAACATGTTTATATTAGTGTCTATGAATTGCATTATAGTCAGAATATAATGATGGGAATAATGTTTATGTGATGTATTATTTTTAAATCATTAATGTTTTTAGTTATTTATCATTTCATTGGCTATAAGGAATTTCAGACCTGTGAAGTGAAATGAAACCTATTTAAACTGACTAGTAATTCTGTACTTTTTCTTTTACAGGTCATGTAATGTTTGCAGAAATAAAAATGGAGAATGGAAAGTCAAAAGGTTGTGGAACGGTCAGATTTGACTCCCCAGAATCAGCTGAAAAAGCCTGCAGAATAATGAATGGCATAAAAATCAGTGGCAGAGAAATTGATGTTCGCCTGGATCGTAATGCATAATTTCAAACCACGGTTGGAACATTCTTACGTCTGTTTTGCTGAATCTCCTAGTAAAAAGTCATTTTTTTAGTAATACTGTATGCTTACAAAAGCTGTAAAAATGAACTTTTAAATCTCCCACCAGCTTTTAACAGTATAGTGTGAAATATACTGTGATTTTTGTTAATCTCAAGTTTGGGTTTTTAAAGACAGCAAGTCGGTCATTCAGTTCAAATGAATGGTTATACTGTTTTTAATGAAATAAGCCATTTTTCTTCTTGTTACTTTACTACATAGTGGGATTTGTTTGTTCACGTTTCCTCAGCTTTTATCAACTTATTGTAAGGTAAAACATAGGTGATTTTTTCAAAACTTCCGTTTTATATATGTAATTGTCCTTGAAAGGGCTCGGGCAAATTAGGATGTGATTTGGGTTGGTTTTAAATTACTTTTCTTTGGTGATAAAGAATTACTGTAAGTAAGTTTTAGATTCTAAAGTTCAGGATCTTTTTTATTTGACTTAAATGAAGAAGTGGAGTTTTCCTTCTCTTCCCTCTCCCATCATTCACATTTTCCACATAACACTATTAATATTACCCTCCACAGCCTCTTATTTTATTATTTCCAATGACTCCAAGTTCATATAGAACTGATAATGTGGCAATCCCCAGGTATAATAACAGGCAGACTACTCCTAACTTTCTATCTAATTTCCAGCCATTGAAGTGAACTGCTGAAAAAAGAAAAATAATTGATATGTTGAGAGAGATGGTTATGTAAGTTAGTCCTCTGCTGTTCACTTCTACAGGAGCTGATGTATTTATAAATGCAGTTTTAATAAACCATGGAACACCTAGGCACAGCATATCAAACACGTTGGATCCCACGATGTTAGACATAGCCATATCTCCTTTGCCTGCAGAAAAAACATGTTGTTAAAATGTGCACACCAATACTGTATTTTATTAATAAGCTTCATAAAAAAACACTGGAAAATTTTTTTGTTTGTTGGTTTTGGAAAATTGTTATATTAGAACAAAAGTCTTACTGAATTTGTATTTTTTAATTTGGGGGGTTAGTATTTAAAGTCTTAACATTTATTTAATAATAATTATCTTTATTTATTAAACCATTTTTTAATAAGGTCTATAGATTACTTGTTGCTTTTCATTCTAATTTAATATGGTTAATTATGATTTAATGCACATTTTAGATAAATATTATTTGGGGGATTAGATTTAGTGAAATTACTCTGATATTAAATAGTAAATCCTTCCTTTTGAGTCCCTCTTTTTTTTTTCTTAAAAGTATGTTAACTGAGGAAATAAATATCTTTAAAGGTACCTTTTACCTTTGCTCAGTGTATTTCAAAATAGCCAGTCTTGAAGAATGGGCATTGCAGCTTGAGGGGCCTAGTTCTTACCTTTTCTTGCAACCAGCACACTTGTAATTGTGTCTGGCAGGCTTGTTCCTGCTGCTAATAAAGTAAGGCCCATTACTGTATCTGGAATTTCTAAAGTCTCCCCTGTAATAAACAGAGATACTACAAGTTGCAGATCTTATTTCAGATATTTCCTTTCTCAACAAAAGGAAAACAGGCACATTTAGATTTCACAACTAATATGTACTTAGACTTTACCTAGCAAAATATTTGAATAAGATTGGTAAATTGAAAAACCCAGGTAGCATTAATTTTTAATGACCGCTAAAGATATTTAATAGAATTCTACTAAGGAGTAATTCTACTACTCTGGTATGCTTACAGAAGGTTTGGATGTTCACTGTTATCTCATCAAGGCTGTTGCTTAATATATGCTAATAAGATCGGTCCTTTTCAAACTCTTAATGTGATCAGGATTAAGTAAATTGTTTTTAGCTATTTTTAACCTGTAAATGTGTTAAGATGGTACATGTTTTTTAAGTCCTACTTTGATGATCTACCTTAAAAAAGGAAAACAAAAATAGGGTTCTACTTGAGTCTTCCTAACATGGTCCCAATTTATTAATTCTGTTAAATTTGGTATCCGTTCAACATTTGACAGAAATGTGTTCATTCTGGGACATAATCAGGGAAGTTTAAAAGTACATGTAACTACTGTTTTAATGTTGCGATTGAAAACTACTTTAGAATCTTTTTTAAGTAGCTATTTATTGCATGCTTTATATATTGAAATTGGAATTGTAATAATGGTTGTTAATTTTTGTTACTGGTTTGCCAGAGTTCATATGTACATAAGTAACACTAGTATTTATCATCTTAGGGGCTGTTCTATAATATTGCTTGATTTTGCTCTTTAACGGATTTCCTATTGTCAAATATCTGGCTGAGAAAATTTGGAGAGATTTAATATGCAAGCTAATTGGACTCTTTCATCTTTCTCATTAAAAATAAGAAATATTCTGATATTTTGCTAGCATGCTATTCTAAGTCATATATTAACTTGGGAAAAGTCAGAGATCTGCAGGCTTTTTTTGTAAAGGACCATGTAGTACTTACTTTAGGCTATGCAGGCTATATGGTTTCTGTTGCAGATATTCACCTCTGCCACTGTAGTGTGAAAGCATCCATAGATAATGTATAAACGAATTAAATGAATGGGTTTGATTATGTTCAGTAAAACTTCACTAGCAAAAACAGACTTGGTCGTTTGGGTACACAGGCGATAGTTGGGTCACCTCTGATATGTCCAAGTTAACCTTTTTGGGAGAAGTTTTTATTTTTTTCCCCTATGTTTATATTCAGTTTTTTCCTTGGAATTCTGTGGGACTAGAGCTGATTATGGCCAAGCAGTAAGATTTAATTTTTAATCATGAAGATAGTAGAACCTAAATTTAAATTTTATTTTATGCCCTTTTCACCCATTTCATAGTTTGTTTATATGTCCATATTAAAAAGCAAAATGAAATGCAATCCAGTTAAACAGTGAGCTCACATTGTTATCTCAAAATGCTGGCTCCTTGTTATATGTTTCATTATGGAATGGAATTCAGTATAAAGAGTATATTGTGGATCTCATACAGTGTGATTTAATTATTAGTGTAATAGGGAGATATCCTGTGTATTTAATTTCATTTATAAGAAGATCCCGTGGCCTTTAACTCTGGCCTATACAGTACTGAGAATATAGTTGATATGTAATATGCAACTTACAAACCCTGAATTGATCTTGTTGGTATATTAATATTTTATCTTTTTATATCTTTAGTCTTTGCTGAAATAGAAATTTCCTCTGTAACTAGATTACTTTTAGTGAATATATGCAGTTTCTTCTTCTATAAAATTGATTATTTTCTTTATAAATTGTGATCTTGTACTAAAGATACATACCAGTTATTGTGACCATCCAAACCAAGATATATGTAAATGCAGATATCCACAGTGCTGACATGAAAAAGGTTATCATAAAATAATTTTTCCAAAATTTTCTTCTACAATCTGGTGTGGTTAGGAAAAGTAAGGTAATAATAGGAAGGGATAGTACCCAAAAAATTCTTTTTAAGTCTGCTTCAGGCATGTTGAAAACACTTGGTGGATCTGTTGAGGAAAAAAATAAATGATTCTGAGTTTTCTCAAATGGCCAATTAAGTTGGAAATGTCCATTTAGAAAGCTATATTGAAATAAATTAGCTGTATCAGTTTTTAAGAGGCTATTTTAAAACATTTGAATACCTCATTACTGATATTGCTGGCAAAAAGAAACTAATTGAGACTTTAGGGCAGACAGTATAAAATGTTATACTCAGCATTTCTTGTTTTGGGACCTTAAATCCATGAAAATCTTGGGTCATCCACTAAATATATTGGTCGTAATGTTTATGAAGTACTGGTTGGACTTTCTTTTGGTTTTCTACAATGTGGATGGTAATTTTTAGTAACTTTTTTTGCTTTATGGTATTAACCTGACTTCTACCTATTATAACTACTATACTTGTCCTTCTTCCTCAGTATTGATGTTTCTAGCCTGCCCTATGTATAAGACAATGCATACATACTTAGGACATATAAAATAATTATAGCATAATCTTTTTCTTAAGTTGAATATTCCATTCTAATTTTCATTGTAAATGAATTTTGGAGGCTTGCTTCATATTTCTCTCTTAACATTAGTTTACTAAATTTGGAACTCACTACAGTTCTTATGAAGAACCTTTAAGAAAATAGCAACTAGCATGGAACCTACAATATAACTTCTAAAACTTGAGTATGTTCCTTTATACAGTACGTTTTATTAAGTTAGTGGAAGACAATAGTACATTCGATAAAAATAAGCATTCACTTTAAAATCATTTAAAATTTGCATGGCATTTACAAAATAATGTACCCATATATTGGATCAAATTATATTACAACTAATACTAGTAAAATAACTCATAAAAAATTGGTCAGGCCTCAGCCAATGGGCCACCAAGTAAATTTTAGATATAATCTCAGTGTAATGAAAAAATTTAGAATGGTCCTTTTGAATTTCTTGTTATAAAATTCAACTTAGCAATATGTATCACTTGAAAGGCTAAAAAGTATAATTTTTGTAAGAAGGGAAGAAGTTTTGTTTAATTTTTTTAGGTAGTAAATTAGAATAACTTCCCTTCCTAATATACTTAGGTAAATTTAGAATCTGTTTCATACAACCACTTTGTAAGAAGCTAACGTATAAATTTCTATTTCTGGCCATAGATGAACTTGACTTCTACTAAATATCTAAATGTTTTGCTACTGCTTCAAATGACATACTTAAAACTCAAATGTTTCTTTTTTCCCATACCATCCCTTTTTCTTAAATTCCGAGTAAGTGATGTTCCCATTTTCTCAATCAATCATAAACAAAGCCTCAGAATTTTCTCTTTTCCCTTTCCTGGCCTTTTCTGGTCCTTCTATTGCCTCGTCTTAGTTGATACTTCCTTTGCATTGTCTTTTTTATTCCTACTTTCCTTTATCTAGGCATCTACCAAACACATCAGCTATTTTAGTAGCCTCTTAAAGACTTCCATTTCTTTTATCCTCTAATTTTCCTGCTTCATAAA